GGTTCATGGGGTCATGAAGAGTCGGACACGACTTAACGACTAAACAACAACAACAACAACTGGCAGGTAGGCTCTTGGTTTCTCTGACAAACTGGGAAGATGATACCTGCTTATTTACAGTGGTAAGTTAATGTCTACTCGTTTCTAATAAACTGTGTTTTAAATTTTATTCCTGTTATTGTTAACTTGAGTGCCATTCTTTGGGGAAAAAGAAAGGTGTAGAGTTTCTGATACAATCCTGTAAAGGTGCTTCAAAGTACATGCATAAATGCAGCATCAGTCTGCAACTCTTAAAGCAACTATGTCTTTCCCCTGGATGAAGCAGTAGCTGCAAAAAGCGACTAGGTGATTCTGGGAAAGAAGCAGCTGTTTTAAGGAGTTGCAGATAGATGCTATGTTTGTGCCCCCATATTCTTGGGCACCTTTTCAGATTCAAATACAAACGCTGCACAGCCCTAATATAGAAATGAACAAAATTATAAGTCATACACTCTGTTATAATGCATGTTCTCAGGGGTTCTAAGCGAGATGAAACTTTCACCAACATATGCAACTTACTGAAGTTACTGGAGGAGAGAAAAACAACCCCCTGTTATAATGGCTAACGAAAGCAAGAAAGCAAAATCCATTTTAGCTAACTAATCACTTTTTTTCTTTGTATGTGTGCCTTCAAGTCAGGCTTGTCTCCCTGTGATTGCCTGGACAAGTCCCTGAGTTGTACTGGCAAGATTTGCAGAAGTGGTTTGCCATTGCCTTTTTCTTCCCAGAGCTGAGAATGAGTGACTGGTCCAAAGTCACCCAGCTGGTTTTGTGCCTAAGGCAGAACTAGAACTCACATCTCCTAGTTTCTAGCCCAGTGTCTTTAACCACTACACCAAACTGGCTCTTAATCACCCTTTGGTTCCCTATAAATAAGTGAGATAAAGTGATAAATTCTGTTAATTGTGATGATAGGAGTACAGTAGAGTACATGTTTTACGTTAAGATAAACTTAATTCTTGTCTTTTCATCATTATAGTTAATCAAAAAGGAGTTTGAGGCTTCTAAAATCCTGCAGAACCATCTGTCAGAGCAAATAGAGGGAGGAGTTGGGAAGGGTGATCTTTCCTTTAAATTGCCCACAATTCTGTGAAACAAAAATCTATTACTAGTTAAAGATGATATCACAATTTTTCTAGGCAGAACCTCAATACGAAAAGTAAAACTCTTCATTGATGCAATCAGAATATTCTTTTAACCAGATAATGAGAAACTAGGTTTAAAAACTGAATTTACACATTAAGTCAAAAAATAATAAACAGAACAAAGAATTCTTAATAAAATAATATATTAAAATAAATGTAAATAAAGCCTATTAAATGAGCAGAATATAATTTAATTTTAAATTTTAAAAAGGAGAAAAAGTTGTCAAATATTTGAATAAAGCAAATACTCTCAACTCAAAACAAACATTGCTTATTTTTCACAGAGTCGGTTCCTTTGCTCTATTGTTCCTACTCACTATTTTATTAACCAAGCACATTCTGAATTTGGGGAAAAGAAATTAGAGTGGCACACTAGATTTACAACATCTAGGCATTCAGATTTTCAGGAAGGGTCCTTCTAAACCCCAATCAGACCAAAAGAAGAAATGAAAGAGCATAAATATCTGCAGGTCCAGCTTTGAAGCAGTCTCCAATTTAATAGACTGTTGTGTGCTATTAGACGCCAATCTGTACTTTAATGTTTATGTTTGCAGTTAAAAATCTCAGACTTTAGACCTACATATAAAAGATAGTCATACAATTCTTTTCTGAGACACTGACCTGGATCCTCACTTAAAAATGAACAAGCCATCTTTATGTAATTAAATCTTTGTTTTGATCTATTAGTATTCAGTAAAGTGCCGTTTTATAAACCCTCACCCTGAATAGGCAGTGCTGGAGGTAACCATCTGCAGCTTTAGAGTCCAAGCTTGAATTGATGAAAAGAGCTTTGTGCTTCCATTGCCAAGGTCGATTCTTCCAGTCATCAGGCATTCCCCTCGGACTGAATCAATGGAGCTGACACTCTTGCACCCGTGTGCTAAATTCTCTTCTCCTCCTGGTTTCCTTTGCTCACTATCCTCCAGAAAGGCTCCTGGGTCTTAACCACATTCTTTTCACAGTCATGCTAGGGAAAAAATGGACATCAGAATGTCTTTCCCCAGACCCAGAGGGGTAAGTGATTAGCCCCTGTCTCACATTGGGGTGCAATTATTCAGATTCATTTTTGTTCTTGAACTGTGCTGCTCAGATATTCTGAGAAAGATTATCTCATCCAGTGTGCACTGGAGAATGTCTTGGGCATTGGTGTGAAATGCACACAATTCCTGTGTGCAGATGGCACAGTAGCTTTTTTTTTTCAGACACAAAGATGCTAACACTGATTGACCAAGCTGTCCAAATGTGGTATTTCTTTTTCCAAGAGTCATCACATGTATAAAAAACACATAGAATCATGTTTCCTAATACATCTCATCATGAGAAACGCAACCAAAAAACAAGGTGTTTTCTTAAACATGACACGTGTAAGAATACCATTGTTCTACTACAGACATAAAGCACATACTGTCATTGAAAAATGCCCATACATGTAACTCTTATTCATATATGAAATCATGACCTTATTGGATTACAAGGTATAGTTTTCCTGTTGCTATGGCCTCAGGGATGATTGCGGGGAGTGGGACTCATAAGCCATCTAGAAAACCAGGTGACATGCAAGGGTTACCCCTTTTCTTTGAACAGTTATTGGGGGCTGCAGTGAAACTCTAAACAAAACTAGCCTGCTGGGAAAGTTTCAATACAAGGATCAGTTAATTCCTTCCAAAAAATGAAGCATACTTTCTCTCCCCATCATTCTCTCTTAGTGAAGACTACCAAACATAGTTTTTCCTAAATGGCAAAATACTGACTTGTATGATGTAACTGAGGTTAAAAAGGTATTGTGAATTCTTAACTTGGTTTTCCTGCTGATGAGTAGGACTGTCTGTGTGGCTCTCCCAGAGGTGTCAGTGAGTTCTTAGCTTAAAGTAAACACACTTCCCACAAACTCAGCTGCTTAATCTGTTTGCAGGTTGAATTATAAGATAGAATGGGTGACTGTGGGTGCTGGGAAGTAGCAGTGAGCATTTCCATGTTTTGTTTTGTTTTTAACAGAAAGGGCATGCTGTTGTCAAAAGATTTTGCTCAGCTGTTTAATTTTGCTACAGGCCTGGGAAGCTGATTGTAGTGTTAACTGACCTGGTAGACATTTTCCCAAGTAGTTAAGCATGTCAGATTGAATTAATTCTTCTGATAAAAGCTCAAGCTAAAGTTAGCAATAGTTTAGGTGATATCATTAAGTCTATTACAGCACTTTTGCTCTTTTCCAGGGAAAGGGAACTGGGAGTGCAGGGGAGATTCAAGGAAAGCAGGGGAATTTCTTCTGAGATAATGTATGGCTACATTGTGACACCAGCACATTATAATACATTTATGTAATTTATGAAAACATTTATGCACATATTTTTCTTCCCAGAGAGCCTTTAAAATAATACATAATTTCAAAATACTCTCATACAAAGCATTTTGACCAAATGAAGTACAGAACAGAATAAAGCCATCCGATTTAAAACAGAAGGGGAAAAAAGCCAGAACACAAATTAATCCAAATTTCAAACCCAACAGAAGCCTGACAGAATACTTTTAGTTTTTTGACAAGCTTAACTACTTGAGAAAATGTCTACCAGGTCAGTTAATGCTACAATCAGCTTCCCAGGGCTGTAGCAATATTTTCATTTATGCCTAATGAAAAATGCTTGGAATGGATGCAATCAGAAGGCAAAAGGCTTTTCCACAATTAACAATCCCTTTCTTTGGTCTGGCTCTAAAACTAGGCAAGCAATGGGAGGCATCGCTTTCTCTCAGAATTGATGCTGCGGAATAAAGAGAAGAAAATACTGTGTAGTGGGCCAAACGAGGCTGAACTCAAGCAAGATTGTTAAGACCTAGACAGGCTGCTTATGGTGACTGCATTCACAGCATCTCAGGGGCTAAGACAGGAAGAGCTTGTATACTACAATATGGAATTTTATCCAACAACGTTTATTTGGATATTCAAAAGGCTTTTGATGAAGTCCTTAATGAAAGACTCTCAAGCAACTCCTTGCTCATGAATATGAAGAAAGAAAGGGTCCTCTTTGGATTGAAACTGCTTAAAGAACAAAAAAGAAGGAACAGCAGTAAGTAAATACTATTAGCAAAGTGAGTGCTGTAAATGGGCTATCCAATAAACTTTATTGAACTTTATAAAAGTATTTTTGTTCATACTCATACAGAAGTTAGGAGTCAGTAGTACAGAGCTCAAACCAGTGAATGCTATTCATTTATTTAGGTGACTAAAACAAGAAGGGACAGTGGTCTAAAAAGCCTTCTTCAAATAGAGGAAATGAGCATAAACATGGCAAATGCAGTGCAACATAAGTAAAGTGATGCAAACTTGGACAAGAATGGCTAAATTCACGTATAAGTAAATAAACTGATGGCAACTGAATAGGAATAGGATCTCAGGGTTTTGGTGGTTAGTTCAACAGAGTAGTCAACATGACTGCTGTGAAGAAGGGAAATTCACGGCCATAAACATTAAGAAAGGAGTTTAAAATAAAACAATTAATATCATGATGCTAATGCTTTTATCCAAATCTATGGCATAACTCACTTGTAATACTTTGCAATAACTATGCAAAGTATTACAACAACATTAAGAACATTTTTGTAAAACTGGAAAAGATTCAGCAAAACAGTCAATAGTTGGACCAACTGTCCAAGGTAAGGACAGTTGTAAGGTAAGGCTGAAGCATTTAAGGCTTTTTGGTTTAGTGAAAAGGCAGGCAAGGGGATAAGAAGGCATGAAAGATGTGTATACAGTTATGGATATGGTTCTTTGATAGACATTAAAGAACCTGGATAGGAAGAATTAATTATTTCTCTTCCATAATACTTAACCCTCCAGTTAAGCAGACTGATATTTGAAGAGGGAAAAGAAAGCACCTGACACTGAGCATTGTCAAAATACAGAATTCACGATCACAAGATTGACAATAATCATTAATCTGATGGTTTTAAAAGGGAATTAGAGTTGCAGAGAATAAAGAGATTGATGGTATAATACTTGTCCACTTGTCTTCTGAAAATCCAAAGCCATTTTCATTTAGCAAAAGCAAAATTAAAAAGCTTGGGGATCTAAGATGCCCAGTCTTCATCCTTTTTTTGAAGCATGAAAGTTGAATTATAGAAATATACCCACAAGTAACATGTACATAATATACAATTTGAGAATAACCTAAATTAACATGATGAGACCATAACAAGATAATATAAATATATTTCAACTGGAATATATGCTAAACATAAATTCAATAAAAACTTTTAAATGCATGAATAATAAATGGATTAGTAGGACGAAGAAGAACCTAGCTATAATTCTTTCTCCCCTGCAGTCATTTTACTTTTACTCTCATTTCTTTCATTTCTGGCCTATGTCCATTTTTCTCCAAGATCCACTCTTGACATTAACAAATAATGGTCTGCCTCATTTGTGCTAATGTGCTAGGTAACCCAACTCAGTTCAACTCAACTCTTGGCTATTTGAATACAGACTCTTGCTTGCTCCCCATATAAGGTGTGTCTTTGATGTTTCAGAAGCTGATGGAAACAATCCTCTAACAGACCATTTGGAATTGTTGATTATAGCTTCAGCTTTATTTAGTTTTAATAGTTTTATTATCATTATTTGTTTTATGGATGCTTCTATCAGTGTTTAACTCATATGTTGTTACCTGCCTGGAACTGGAAAAGTAGGCAGCATATATGTTTTGGAAAACAAACAAATAAATATCCAATGAATTTTTTTTTTCCAAATTCAAATCTCAAATTGGTTCAGAACAAATTGGCTGTACTAGTTACTGACCCTAATGAAGTATTCATTCATTCATTCATTCATTCATTCATTCATTCATTCATTCACTCACTCACTCACTCATTCAAATTGGCTTGCCCACAGTTTCAAAGTGCAAACTTGAATCAAATAATGCCCTTTTCAAATTTTCAGTTTCAAGTGGATCAGAAATGACTCATGTCAGCTGTGAATATAAGTATATTTACAACATGTAATGAAACTGTTGTGGTCCATATAGCCACAGCAACTAATTGAATCTTTGATATGTAAAGCAATCTTCAATTAAATATTTAATATAAGCTCTGTGTGTGTGTGTGTGTGTGTGTGTGGCCTCTCTGTCCTGCAAATTTTGTAACTATTCTATATTAGTTACAAAGAAACCAACATTAAAAAAAAAAGATTAAACAATGCACAAAAGTTTGAAATAAATGGCTATTAGGTCTGTTAAATCGCTTAAAAAAGATTGAATGCATTGTAAAAATGTCTCGGTACAGTGGTACCTCGGGTTACGAACGCCTCTGCTTACGAACTTTTCGGGTTGCGACCAGCTCCGGCCGCAAAATTTACCTCGGTTTGCGAACTCCGCCTCGGGGTACGAACCAGATCTGCGGCCATTTTCCACCCTGCCGCGTGGTCCGCGGCCGTTTTTCCGCCCATGCCACGTGGTCCGCGGCCGTTTTTCCGCCCTGCCACGCGGTCCGTGGCCGTTTTTCCGCCCTGCCGCGTGATCCGCGGCTGTTTTTCCGCCTGTGCCACGTGGTCCACGGACGCCGGAACGGATTAACGGTAATTACATTGAG